AGGAGGAGGAGGAGGAGGAGGAGGAGGAGGAGGAGGAGGAGGAGGAGCACTGTGGGGTCCTTCTTTGAGCTCATTTTCTTGCAGACCTTTCATTAGACAAATCAGGTAACACCATCAGTGCTAGTCAATGCTCTAGCGCTGATAATATCACTAGTTGAGTAATGAAACATCTGCAAGAAAATGAGTAAGCTCAGAGAGCACCAAGGACCCCTCATTTCAATCCTGATCTGCAAATATTCTCCTTTATTAAAATCAGAAGAAGGAGAGGATATTTAGAGTTTCTTTCTCGTGCCTTTTCCCAGAGAATTGAGTTCTCTTTTATTTTTCACTGAACAGTTCTCAAATGCTTTTATTAAGTTCATTTTTATGTTCCATTCCAGCAGTAATGCTAAATCCCCCAAAAGGGCCATCTGATTTTATACATCCTTGTTTTTCACGGCCGTGAAGCCCAAGAGGGCAGTACGGCTGCATCCAGCTGAATTGGATGCCCAGTTATGAGGCCACTGCCGCATCCCCGAGGGAGGTTTTGTCTATAATTACGTGGATCGTGTGTACAGGGAGTCCTCGGCTTACAACAATTTGTTCAGTGACCATTCTAAGTTACAACCAGGGGTGGAATTCTACCGGTTTGGACCGGTTCTATAGAACCAGTTGATTTGATTCTGTGCAGTTCGGAGAACTAGCGAATTGTGCTTCTGGCTGGCTCCACCCCTCTCCGCCTGCCCCTCCCCTCCCTGCCCAGTCAGTCCTTATCGCGCATGTGCGACATCGCTGACGGCGTTCTCCCTCGCCCAGTCACTCCTTAAGGTATTTCTCTTTTTTTCCCTCTCCCGACAATCAGCTGTTCCGATGATCAGCTGTTCCGGGATCTCCCTCAATGTCTTACTGCTTTGCCCAGGAGGATTCCCTGAGGCCCAGGGGGCAAAAAAAGGGCATGTGTGTGTGTGTGTGGGGGGGGGTTTGCATGCACCCCCCTGTGCTCCGTTTTTTGCCTTCCTGGACCCCAGGGAAGCCTTCTGGGAGCAAAAACGTCCCCCCCCCAGGAGGCTTGTCTGAGGCCTAGGAGGCAAAAAAATGGGGGGGGGGGGTGCTGCAAAAAAGAAGAAGAAGAAGCCACGCCCACCCAATCACCGGGCCACGCCCACCTAGCCACGCCCACAGAACCAGTTGTTAAAAAATTTGAATCCCGCACCTGGTTACAACAGCACTGAAAAAAAGTGACTTATAACCATTTTTCCCACTTATGATCATTGCAGCATCCTCGGGGTCGTATGTTTTACATTTGGATGCTTGACCACTGACTCACATTTACGACAGTTGCAGTGTCCCGGGGGGGTCACATGATCCCTTTTTGTGCCCTTCTGGCAAGCAAAGTCAAGGGGGGGAAGCCGGATTCACTTAACAACCGTGTGACTGATTTAACAACTGCAGAGATTTACTGAACAACGGGGGCAAGAAAAGTTGTAAAATGCGCAACCTCATTTAACAAATGTGTTCTGACCCAGGATTCGTAGACCGTAATTATTTACACACTTGTTTTATAAACAAAACCTGTTTTATTGCAATGCTGGGAATTGTTTTTATTCCCAGCCGGAATTAATCTCAAACGCCCTCCCAAGATAAGCACGCACATTTCAGTTCTGTGAAGTGCTGCCAAAACAGAAGTATCAAATTAACTAGAAAAGAAAACAACTGAAATGCAAGAACAAACAACCAAAGTATAAAGAGCTTCTAGGATGACTCAGAACAAATCAAATGACTTTGCAAAGGTTTCATCACCTTGGCCTGACTTTTATCCCTTATGGGAGGGGCAATCACCTCCAAGCCTTACTCCCGAGTCGCCCCTGCATTGGACGCAGGACCCTCATCCAAGTCCTCTCCGGACTCCCTGACTGGTCCCCGTTCTTCCCCCTTGTCCGATTCTGCTACCATCTGCAACGGCTACCGGTGAACCATAACAAAATGTTTCACGCAGGTCGCAACATGGGACAAAACTCACTTAACAACCTAAGCTCTGGGCTCAATTGTGGTTGTAAGTCAAGGACTACCATATACATTTGCCTCTCTTTTGTCATGTTCTCCTCAGATGCTAAATAAATCAATAAGTATAGGAGGGATTTCTATTGCTTAGAAGCTGAATGGCTCCCAAATCCAGGAATAATTCTCTTCCTAGTACATGTGAACCTGAACTTGGATCAAACTCTGAATGATTGTTTGATTTGTTTATCCCTAATGGTACCTCCTGAAGGTTTCATTGTAGACATGACTTGTTTAAACACCAGCAAACAGAGCTATACAAGTCTATTTACACAATTTATTTGCCTTCAATCATGCCGAACCTCTCCAGAAGGCATAAAAACATAACAATACTTTTCTAAACTTTATAATTCAATAAAAACCGGCTCCAGCTAACCCAGATGAACCACAGTTCCTTACTTGTATTGTTCTGGCTGGTAAAGTTTAAGGCACCCAAAGTGATTTGCAGACGGATGGGTTCTATATTAAACAAGGCAAGTAAATATAAGCGAGCCAGTTTGGTTTAGCGATTAAGAGGCCAGGCTAGAAACGGTGAGTTCTAGTCAATATGTATATACATATACACACATATACATATATACATATACATATACATACACACACATATATGGTTTATTGTATATATACAATAAATCAATGGGTGTGCATCTATGGAGATTCTCAGTCATTCAGGTCATGGTTGTCCCAAAGGTGTTTTTTTCAAAAGGCAACTCTGAATTTTCTTTCTTTGTTTTTTCCTTGAAGACATTTTGCTTCTCATCCAAAAAGATTCATTGGTTCTAGCAGGATGGTTTGGGAGACGGAAGGTTTAGTTTTGACTTAATTCTTAGTTAGTCAGAAACAAGCCTTCCATCTCCTCCACCAGAACTGAGGAAGCTTCTTGGATGAGAAGCGAAACCTCCTCAAGGAAGAACAAAGAAAGTCCAGAATTGCTTTTTGGAAAAAGCACCTTTGAATCAATGGCTTTGTTTAACGGAACGGCAGCATTTCGAGATATGAGAGATTATGAGGAATAACAAGGTTTCCTGCACATTCTTGAATGAAAGTCAGGTTGGTGCTTTCCTCAAACATTTTATTTTATAGTTTGAGGGAAATCGATTGAATCTGAAGACCTCCAAGATCCCTCCTAAAGGTCTGTTTTTCTGTTAATGGTGGAAAGCATAATGGACGTTTATGAGAAAGATAGAAAGCTGGAGGATCCAAAAGATTCCGAGATCTTTGGCAAAACAATTCCCAGGTCTTTTTTCAAACCTTGTCTTTGATGCTGTGAGAAGAGCAGAGGGCCAGGAGAAACTCCACCACCTCCAGGTGTCCCTTCTCGGCAGCCAGATGAAGGGCTGTCCTGCCCACCTACAAGGAGAGAAAGAGAGGGGAGAAAAAGAGGGAAGGGAGAGGAAGAGAAAACCAGGCGGTGAAAACTGCAGAAAGTTGGATTTGGGTACAGGCAGTCCTCGACTTATGACCGTAACTAAGCCCAAAATATATGTCACTAAGTGAGACATTTGTTAAATGAGTTTTACCCCATCTTATGACTTTTCTTGCCACAGTTGTTAAGCGAATCATTGCAGTTGTTAAGTTAGTAACATGTCTGTTAAGTGAATCTGGCTTCCCCATTGACTTTGCTTGTCGGAAGGTCGCAAAAGGGGATCACACTGCAGCCGTCATAGATAGGAACCAGTTGCCAAGCATCAGAATTTTGATCATGTGACCATGAAGACGCTGCAATGGTTGTTCTGTGTGAAAAACGGTCATAAGTCACTTTTTTCAGTGCCGTTGTAACTTTGAACAGTCACTAAAAAAAACCTTTTGCATTATCTGCTGTCATGCCCTTGTTAGAGTTGGACTCTGAGGGAGAGGAGGAACAGCCCACAGGGAGCGGAGGTGTGGCTCCAGAGGTTGTGGAGGAGGCTGGGGAAGGGCAGAGGCCGCTGGGCAGTCAGAGGAAGAACCAGGCTCATCCCCTCTTCATCCTAGGACACGCAGGGAAGAATGGAGAAGGCAACAACTTGGCTTATGAGAGAGGAAGTGGCCATGATCCTCCTCATTGGTTGCAGCTGGGGAGAATAGTATATAAGAGAGACGGTTAAAACACAGCTGTTGCCAGAAGCAAAGTGTGTTTTATTTTGGGCTGAAGTTATCTTGGTTGGCATCCTTCCAACAGACTGTGCCTTGTTATCTCCTTGAAGTTGGTAATTACTTATCCTGGTCTGTTGTGGAAATTCCTTCATGGTAGTTTGTTTTAGTGTTTTATTTCACCTCTATCTGCTCATTAAGTTCGGACTGTATTGCTTTCTTTTGAAGACTATTTTTGAGTAAGTTTTATCTCCACCTGAGAATTATTGAACGGTGGGGCCAAGTTGGAGGCATTAAAGGACATTTATTTATGTTTTGGATTTTGTTATGTTTGTGTTACACTCTGGGTCATCACATCTACATTTAACATTCATGTCAATGAAAGACAATAAAATGGGCTTGGAGGAATTCTGCTGCAAGAGGCTTGCACTCAGAACAAAAAATTATCAATGGATTCAATGCTGATCGTTTCATTTTAGCTTTGGTTCTGGATAAGAGTACTTGGCTTCAGATATCATGGGCAGTCCATCGCTGGAGGTTTTTAAGAGGAGATTTATCTGAAATGGTATAGGGTCTCCTACTTGAGCAGAAGGTTGGATTACAACAGTGTTCGCCAACTAGTGGGCTGGGGACCACTGGTGGTCCGCGAGAAAATTTTGGTGGTCCACAGAGAAATGTCACCCCCAAAGCACCTCCCAAAACAATTAATCTGGGCTGCACAGGAACACAAGGCTTGCGTTGCTTGCATTGTGAACAACACTTGACCCACATGCCTCACCTGGCCACTGGGTTGCTTCTTTCCACTTCTTTCTTTTTCTGCTTTTGGCTGCATGCAAGGAAAGCAGCAAAAGTCTTTCTTTCTCTCCCCCAAACCCCGCCAGAAATGAGTCTTTGAGACCCTGCAAGGCATCCCGCTCCAAGAGGGTACACCGGAAAAGACTCATTTCTGGCAGAGTTTGGGGGAGAAAGACTTCTGCTTCTACTGCTTCCCTTGCTACTTTCCTTGCATGAAGCCAAAAGTCTCTCTCACTCTCTCTCCACCTGAGAACGGAGCTGGAGCTGCAATCCCAAATAGAGAATGATCTATCGGTAGGAAAACGGGGTGGTGAATTTTCCTGCAGACTTTTTTGGGGGATTTTCCCAGGGTCTCTGATCCGCGGGATTTAAAATTATGAGTTTGGTGGTCCCTGAGGTCTAAAAGGTTGGTGACCCCTGGACTAGAAGAACTCCAAAGTCACTTTCAGATTTTATTCTGTTCTGTTTTGTTCTGTTCTGTTCTCCTCTGCTCTATTGATAAAAGAGGAAAAGTTGGTCTGCTAGTTTTCAAACTTTCTAGCCTCAGAGATTCTTTCCACATTGGGAAACTAAAACCTCTAGTATATTGTGAGATTGTGTTGAAAGAGTTGGTGTTTTTATTAAAATGATCAAAGCAGCATCACACCATTATGGTGCAAACATTGTCTTTTCTTGTACTTCATACATAAAAAGGCTGCAGTGTAGCAGTCATGACCGCAATGCTGTTTGGTCATTGTGCACTCCCCGTAGATGCAACTTTGGCAAAACATTCTGGGAAACTCTTTCTGGCATGCTGTCAATTATGAGCCCCTGCTCAGCCAATTGGACCCACCATTTGGAGGCTGACTTAGGACACATTTAGCAACACTGCCCTGTGGCAAAGCATCAAATGAAACAATCTATGGAAAGCGATTGTTTTGGTCTTATGGGGCCTTCTGGAATTTTGAGAAGGTGTTGAAGGTGCTCTCAGAAAATGGCCACCAAGGAAGACACAACCAGTTACAAAGTTGGAAGTGAACAGAAATATCCATCTGGTTTCATATTGGAATCTCCAAACTACATAATCCCTATTTTATAATTAAATCCTGGTTTAACAAATAAAATGTCTTATTGGGCAAGTAATCTGTTGGAGGAGGAGGAGGAGGAGGAGGAGGAGGAGGAGGAGAAGGAGAAGAAATGGAGGAGAAGGAGGAGAAAGAGGAGGAGAAAGAAAGAAAAAGAAAGAAAGAAAGAAAGAAAGAGAGAGAAAGAAAGAAAGAAAGAAAGAAAGAAAGAAAGAAAGAAAGAAAGA